AGTGGCTGGAAGGCTGCTAATGGAAAAGGACCTAGGGGTGCTGACTGACAGAGCTGAGCATGAACCTGCAGTGTGCCCAGGCAGCCAAGAAGGCCTATGGCATCCTGGCCTGTATCAGAAATAGCATGGCCAGCAGGTAGTGATCATCCCCGTGTACTGGGCACTGATGAGTTCCTATGTTCTCACCAGTCCCTCACTACAGGACAGACACTGAGGTGCTGGAACAGGTCCAGAAAAGGGCAACAAAGCTGGTGAAGGGTCTAGAGAGTAAGTCTGATGGGGAACAGCTGAGGGAACTGGGGTTGTTCAGTTTGCAGAAGGCTGAGGGGCGACCTTACAACTACCCGAAACGAGGTTGTAGTGAGCTGGGGGTCAGTCTCTTCTCCCAGGTAACAAGTGATAAGACAAGAGGTAAGAGCTTCAAGCTGCGCCAGAGATTTAGACCGGATATTAGGAACAATTTCTTCACCAAGAGAGGCATTGGAACAGGCTGCCCAGGGAATGCTGGAATCACTGTCCCTGGAAGTGTTCACAAACCATGTGGATGAGGCCCTCAGTGACATGGTTTAGTGGTGGCCTTGGCAGGCCTGGGGTAATGGTTGGATTTGATGTTCTTAAAGGTCTTTTCCAACCTAGTTGATTCTATGATTCTATTCTATGATAGCAAAGAAAGAGTCAAAGGGGACACAGAGCACAACCTTTCATACAGTTTGTCTCCTAGTCTGTTGTCAGGAGAGACCACATACATTTTTTTAAATATATATATGTACCATTCTAGAGAGACTAATTTTTTTAAGTGTTAATAGAGAATTCTTGCTTTGGAGCTAATGAGTTCACACTGAAAGGGACCACGATGATAAGGAAAAATGTAACCAAAATGTATGGTAAGTCTGAAATGCTCTAAAGTCCTTAATTTACTTACAGAGCAAAATTTAGGCTTAGAAACTGGTATTTACACTTTCTGGTACTGTGGTTTGAGATCTCTCAACTGCTGCACCCAGGTTTGTTTTGCCTTTTTTTTATGTTGATTTCTCCTGCTGAGTTGTTTTGACAGCACGCAGAGATAGCAAGGTTGAAGGAATGAATGCTGTTGAAACTAGGGGGAAAAAATATTTTACTGAACTTGAGACAACAATCACCTATTAACTATTAATCTGTTTTCTTTTTTTTTTTAACCCCTCCTTGTACATACACCATCTTTTCCTATAGTTTTCAGCTTGGCTGTGTGAAATGCTTGAAGTGGATTGGTTCCAAAGAAATTACCTGATGTCACAGGTGACATGTTTTTGGTTGATACTTCTGTAACATCAATTTCCAATTAGGAGCATGTGCTATTCCTTTTCTCTACAGTAGCAGACACAGCTTCAGCATCAGTTCTATTCTTCATTAAAATCAGGACTTAACTCATAAAGCAGCATCAGAACCATAGACATGCTTCTGGAAACCCTTCTGTCTAAGAATGGTAGGTGAGCTGCAGGTAATTCCTTATCTTTCTTCTCCACTGTATTTTCAGTTCTTGGGACAGCCTGTCCATGTTGCTTTCTTAAGTGATTTTTGGACAGTTAGTCTGTTGTGAAACCTCCACACTTCTTCAGAATCTTGCACTCGTACTTATGAGTCCTGCCTAATTCCTTGATTTCTTTTCTGTATTTGAACAAGCTACAATAATGATCATGTTCTCTGTTAAAATCAGCATGTTTTGAAAATGAAGACATAACCCCCTGAAAATTTTTCTTATGGAAGTTTCACATTATTGGGATCTCGAGGGTTTTGATTTGTTTTTTATCGTTGCAGCAGGGGGAGAAAAATGCACTTCAGGTTGAAAACATTCAACAAAGAGAAGTGCTTAACGAAACCAAATAGAGGGCTTTTTTTGATGGAGAAAAACGTAATACCTTTAGATTCAAGCACGTGCTGAGACTAGGCTGGTGGCAGCCGTTTAACTGCACACTCATAGTCGATAAGAAGAACAAGTGCAGGAGCATCAAGAAGAGCCCATTGCAAGCATCTGAATGTAACTAATGAAAAGGAAATTTAAAAGCCAATGAAATGCGGCACAAAGCTCCTAAGAAATAATATTTTACTAAGTAAATGAAGAACTATTTATGTCTGTTAATCACGCAAATGAGTCATGAAAATCATCATATGACTCCTTGGGTTTTCAGACCCAAATGGTTATCAGCATTCCATATTTAAAAACATATATATGCATATGTATCTAAAAATATGACTGTAGCCAAAGATTCAAAGAATATTACAATGGAGAAACCCTCACTCCCACCATCTTTCTCCTCTTTGTGCTTTCTGAAAATTCAAGGCTTGCTGAGAGTTGTTTTTCCTGGCAAAATAAAGGAAGGAAGATGGACAAATTGGAAATTAAATATGGGAAAAGACAGGTGTTTTTACTGGAATGTTGAAAACTGAAAACAGATGAGGTTTCTGAAGAAAAGTATTCTTTCTTTTGCACTTGTACTCATGAGTCCTTCCTGATTCCTTGATAATATTTTTTGAATGAAAACTTACCTGATTTGACAGTGGTGGGTGGAAGACTCCAGTATTTGAAATGCATGTGTAGTTTTTTCTGGGCACATAGCAATATTCCTTCACTCTATTCTTATCTACCTGGAAAGTATTCACCCAGTACAAAACAAGCAGTTCCTATTCCAGGCTTTGTGCTGCAGTTGCTGTGGGAAGATGTTGTCTACATTTGCTCCTTTGGGGAATAAATTAAGACACTGGGTTACAGTTAACCAAAATGCTAGGTTTTCACCAACTCTTGATGAGAGTAGTACTGCTGCCTTCAGCTGGTAGTAACCAAAGTGGTCTGAAGTATATTATAAAAGGTCACCCATTACCTGCCTGGTCCTAAAGCATTCATCTTTGTGAACTCTACACAAGTATAGACTTAGCTAGAGCTGTGAGTGTGCTTCCTTATTCCTTTTCCTTCTGAACTTGAACACTGCAAGGAAAAAAGGAAAATCACCTCACTACAAAGAAACCCAGATGGACAAAAAAGTATCAGTTGTGGTAAGCCACAACCCACAAGGCAGCCCCAGGAATACAAGGAAGATGGCTCAGCATGGGAGCAAAAGCTTTTAAAAAGTAATTTTCAAAATCACATCAACACAGAGGCTCAATATATTTCTTAAAGTACTGCAGCTCAGCTGCAGTGCTCTGTCTTATGCAAACTGAAAGCTACTGACGTGCAAGAATGAAATAGATGGGTTCCTACAGATTGTAGAAATGGGCTGGGGTGGAGAGAAATCCATCATTTCCACCTATTTTTGCTACATTGATATTCAACTCAACTTTACTCTCTTGCCACATTACTCTTTTCAGCATTGATAAATGATAAATGCAGCCCAGAAATCATTTATCTATTAATTCTGTATCTCTTTGGAGCCAGCAGAATTGCAAACAAACACATTCATTACAAGCGCATTTTCAGTTACTAAATCTTAATGGAACCTTTAACTTGGTTTGTATTTAGAGTTATTCAAAGTGCAGTTGAAAAGCCATAGCCCATGTGACAGCACACATAACAATCGTTACGGTGTTACAGCGTGGGGAGTAGATGGAAATCTAATGAGAAACCTCCACTTCTTGACAGATTTGTAGCATAGGGCTGATTTCCATGCATCAGAATCATCACCAAATCCCTTCCTTGAATGAATTTAACTTGTCCTAATTCACTAATCTAGAGCAGGTTAGTTTTACCTGCAGTGGATAACTGTCAGCTTTTTGGATGGTGAATTACGTAATGGGAGTGGTCTTTGGAATGCCTGTTTTGCTCCCTTAAACTAAGGGAAAATGTGCTTCACTGCAACTGACAAACGATTCTTGCTTCAATTCACAAAACTCTAAGTTTCAAATGAGATGTTTGTGAATGACTTGGGGTCACACAAACTAAACCAATACCTAACTATGACTCGCAGTGATTGAATGTTCAAACCTTTCAATCATAACAAGACGGATGAGTCTTCATTTTCAGTTTTCAACCCGGTGTCTCTAAATGTTTCATTCTGAGTGTACTTCTGTGGTTCTGGAGAACATTCCCAGTTCATGAACTACAGGCAAAAGAGTGTCAAGGCCAAGAAAACTGCCCTAATGAAATGTCTTATTATGCAAGGGTTATGCAAGGGTCCTTGTTAAAGTGAAACTACCTATGAGCTAGAAAATCATGCTGCTTTAGTGGCATATAACAGAAATATTTCTCTCTTCGGAGCTTCCTGAAATGAAGGGCATGATTCAGATGGGAGGCTTTCCAAAAGACAACACTAAAGTCAAAAGCTGTTTTAAAAACAACTTAAAAGACATGAAAAGAAGTGTCTAAAAGCAGATCTGTTTGCATCTCTGCAAGCAAAGGGATACTTGATGTGGGACTGATGTAAAAAAATTGTTCTTTTTTCCTTTGAATAAGATCTCATTGCCAGTCATCTTATTTAGATGGAACACTTCCGTTGAACGTTTTCTTAATGTGTGCTTATAACTGCTGAGGTAAAGCCTAAAGTGAACCTCTAATTGAATCAGAGTATTAAAGCCTAGTTAAATGTGTTTGCACCTTTCATATCCTTTCATACCTACTTTCCAAGAGCAAGAAATAAAAAACCCATGGAATCCCTGCCCTTACATAGTACTTGTAGCAACCATTTTGTGTAGGGAGCACTGCAGAGCTTTGTCTTATGGTAGTCATCAGCAGACAAGGACAGATGCAGATTTATAAAGCTTTTATTTATTATTCATTTTTTCAAAGTGATAGAATTGAAAAGTTTCTGGAAAAGCATGTGGTTTGACAAAACGCTAAAGATTCATGAAATACTCATTCAGTACCAAAGGAAAAAAGGTAATGGGCAGGAGAAGTTGCACAGAAGTATTTTTCTTCATATTTTCCCCACTGGCAACCTAGATTGGAGAAATAAAAAGGATTATTTTGTGTAATAGTAGCACACCAGTAGTACTTCCACTTGCTGTATGCTGTGTAATGGCAGATGATTAAACAGCTGTTAGAAAAAGCGACTGCTTGGTGGTTAAAGGGAAGCTGGATGCTTTTTTGAGCTGAAGGAGTTATGTTTTGGGCAGAAGGGTGGGCAGGGATAGGTAGATAGATAGATAGATAGATGGCTCAATATATGTGCATTATTGCTGTTACCTACCACGTGTTAAACGCCAATTCCTAATGTGGCTCTGCTCTGGACTATTAGGTTTGCACCCTAGAAAAAGGAATACAAACAGTTGTGAGAGAGAAGCCAAAGGGGGGGAAGTATGTAGTGCTTGAGCAGAAATTTCTATAAACTTAAACTTGTGCCTGTGTTCTGTTTCAAAGGATAATTCTAATGGTCCTTCCTAAGTTTAGAATCTGTGCACTCGTGTATGTTGGCTATTTTTCAGTTTTGCAAAGGTAGAAAATACACTTTTAGAGTGAATTAGAGACAAAAATCATTATTTCCTAAGTATCCCTAATTACCTGTGCAATTCTTTGGTTATATATTTAAAAAGGATTCAATCAATAAACAGTTTAGGATATTGGTAATAGAGTTCTCTGCTTCAAATGATAATGAGTTTGCTGTTGGAAACTGTCATTTATCCTTCCTGTAAATGCTTTGTGTTTGCTCGGCAATATGTCTATAGATCAACTCCTCCTGTGGTTATTTCAGATGTTGAATGAATGAATGTATTTGTGGTTACTGAGTTTGAAAAAAAACACATAATCACCTGGACTCCCCTTGCTAATGTATATATATTTGCTAGGTGTCTGATAATTGATGCACATGCACTTTTTACCGGTAATCCTTCAGAATTCTATAAGAATCTGTAGCACAAAAGGAAGTCTGTGTATGTGAGAGGTAGAGCTTAGGTTCTATGCATGCATCTTTTCAGCTATGGCTTGTAATTCAGCTCTTCCAGACAAGGCCCTGAAGAAATTTATCTAATCCAAAATTTAGCTGTGCTTTGAGCAAATGACTGCACTACATGACCTCCAGGCAGCCCTTCCACACAAAACTGGGCAATGACTGCTGCACATGTTCTGCTCTGCAGGTAATTTTAGTGTAAGGGCACACAGACAAGTGATTGCCGTAGTTTGCAGAACTGCTTTCCTAATGCATGGTTTCCTACTGAGTTTCTGGTTTCCCATATTCATTTCTTGTTTTGTTTTTTAAAGGAGATAGGAAATACCTCTTCCCCAAAGCATGTCTCAATATCTGATTGCTTGCAGCATTTGTCCACCATGGCAGTGAAACCATCAGCAATTGTCTTGATTTGTTCTTCTGTCATCTGGGGCTTGCGTTTAATGAGGTTGACAAGCAATCTGAAAACAAAGCCACAACACAGAGTTAACGCTACCTGCTGTAGTTTGAATTCCCAGTTTCAAATATGCCATTCTGTGCAGATACTGCTCATTTATGAGGCTTTGATTTTTTGGTTGGTTTTTTTTTTCGGTCATGCCTAGAGGAGTCTGTGCCTATTCGTGATTCCAAACTCCCAGTCTACCACTTTGCTTTTTGTTATCCCAGTTATAGGTGGGAAAAAACTTACTGCAATGACCTTTACGTTGTCTTAATGAAGAACATCTTAAGATTTGCACTGGCAGTGGGCCTACATGAAACAGGTCAGCTAAGACACTGATTTTATTTGAAGAAAATACCCTATTTTGCCTCTTCCAAACCACAAGATGCTATGCACTGACAAGGTCAGTGCAAACACATAGTTCCATCTGGCTTTTTATCTGTTGCTAGTGAAGTCCCAGTTTGATGACAAAACAGGGTGTAGCTTCCTTCTGTACCCCTCTTCCAAGTATTACATTTCAGAAGCTTTTCTACAAATACTTCTTCAGCTTACTTCATCTGCCCTAGTTCCCGTTAAGTGCACAATTTTTCATCAAAGCTGAACATATCAGGGTTAAATGCTGGAGGCACATATTTGGTATCTACTCCCATGGCAGTGAAACAGGGTCTCCTGTAAGCGTAAGAGTCACTGCAGCAGTGTGAAACGTTGTCATTTACAGGTGTGGTCTCCTGCCTCTTGCACATGTCCTGAATCACAATGCTCAGCTGAAAAGAGAAGGAAAGAAGGACAAATTTGAGTTACATCTGCTGCAATAACAGATGTGGTGATTGTGGTACAATAGCATAGCTGGAAGTGGAAGCTGTCAGATCCAAACACCTCCTTGGAAATGGCATGGTCTTAAAACTTAAAATGAATATGTATTTCTGGAGCTGGGTATTTCTTAGTCTGCAAACAGTCTGCCTATCATGCTACAATCAGTAAGTACATTTAGTTTTTTTGAGAGACTTTTTAGCTTTTCCGTATGTAAGCAGCCAACCAACTTATTTTTGCTTCCTGAGGGAGAGCAAAGTGTAGCTGAAATTTTCACAAGCTCCCATCAGACAACTATTTAGGTTCTCACATTCAATAAAAATTAACAGACTTCAAATTCTCTTAGGTAGATGCTTAGCTTGGGATTTGTGGAAAATCTTGTGAGTTTACTATTTCATCAGAAATGAACATTTTCTGAGAATAGAAGAAATCTCCAAGAGTAGCGAGAATAAAGCAGTGTACTCACATATCCCTCAGAGCAAGGCAGGCGTTTGTTCTCAGGAAGCTTGCAGCACTTACTACCAACAGCTGTCATTTTCTTTCCAATTTCAAGCAAGGTGTCAGTTGATACTTGAGGCATTTTCTTCGTGTAGCGGATGAGAAGTCTGAAAAAGTCATATCAAAATGACTGTTGGCTCACATTTGATGAATGCTCTACTGAGCTAGACCACTGAAGTGAAAACAGAAGTGAAGACCAAATAAATTTGCCCAAAGCAGTCTGCACCATTCTTTACACTCATGAATATTTATCAGCAAGTACTTACGCTTTAAGAAAGTCTGCCTCGCCATGGGTAGCAAGAAGGTTACAGTTGGTGTTTACAACATCCTGAGTTTCTTTGATATGCTTGTTCAAATCCTCTTGCTGCAAACCAGTATGAATTCATTAGTAAAGTTAGAGCAGGACATGCTGGTAAATAGTCATACAAACGCAGCTTTTGAGCTCTTCTAAATCTTATTAGCTCTGAGATACCCATTTTGCAAGGCTGATTACCTCCATATAGCCTGGGTGGCTTAGGGAGGGCTTGATTCTTATGTAAAACTTAAGTTCTAGCAGAAATTCAGTTAAAAAGGCAGCAAGATTTTTTTAATTTAATTTAAATCAGTTACCTGTTGGACTTTCTAGACAACAGGGTTTTTTGTTTGCTTTTTTGTTTGGTTTTATGTTTTTTTTGTTTAAATGGGGTGAGTATTTTTCAAGTATAGGATTACCAACTGTGAGGAGAACATCCTCTTTCTATTCCTTGGCCAAAGCTGTCAGTGACTCCATTTGTGCTGTGACTTGTGTGCAATTCAGTTGAAGATTAGGAGATCAAAGTTTATGCTTAGTATCTGTGAGCTGGCCATGCAGGTTCCCATCATAATCCATGAGCAGCCATACTCAGTATAGGTAGTGGAGCCCATAGAATAATTCATCTAACCAGTGATTAATCATCTTCAGGCTAAGCAGAATCACTTCTGGGAGGCAGAGGCATCAGACAGTTGTGAGACTAGTCTGAAATTTCATAAGGCAACCAATGATGTTATTCTGTGATCTGAGAAAATTCTGTAACGTTGTCACAGGCCCTGAACTGCTTCGTGTCCCATCAGAACACTAACTTTCCCTGGGACCAGTCACTCAAAATGCTTTCTGTCTGCTCTTCCATGGGAGTTTCTCAACCCAGTTGTTTCACGAAAGGTACCAAGCAAGCACTGTAGTTATCTGCAAACAAAGTTGTGCACCTACAGCATTTCCATAGCACTGGGCAGGGTTGTCTGTCTTGCAGCACTTTTCCAGGAGTGTTTCATATCCCTTAGCAACTCTCAGAATCAGCTGTGTGGAGAGCTCAGGGTGTCTCCGTGCATATTCATAAATGAACCTGAAAGACACACAGGCTGACAGAATTAGAGCTCCTGAACAATGTGCTGTTTTCTTCAAGCATAGCACAATAACTGACAATGACAGTTCCCTGGATGAGATCAAGCAAATGGACAATGAGCTTGGAATGTTGTTTGCTTGTTTTAGTACATGATTTTGGTCGTTCTGTTGTCTACCAACAAGGCAAATGTAAGAGGAACAAAATAGTTCCCTGGGACAGAATAATTCTTAAGCAGGTAATGTATGTGGGCATACACAAAGCCCACAAATAAATGCACTGATAAATTCAGATTTGATAAGTAGGACAGTGATGAACAGAAACAATCACAAAGCATGAATGAGAAACTAGGGGTTCAACTAGGGTCAGAGCTACATCAGACTTCCATGTGGTCATCTCTGTTCTCCATGTGCAGTTGAAACTACAAGAGGACAGTTTTTCCAGCAGAGCAAAAGGTCATAGTCCAGAAAAGACAGAGCCTCATTTGCAGAAACATTCAAATACAAGCACACATGCTGTTTGCACTACTTACTCAGACAAGAATGCATCGTGGCCTGCCTCAAAGCTCTTGCACACTTCCTTATCTTGGATGTATTTTTCAACTAGTGAAGGAAGATCTGCAGGTTTCTCATCAAAATCTGCTTCAATAACGCACTGGCTTCGCTCTACAACTGGCTTGGCACAGCAGTCTTTGATTTTACTTGACAAAACATCTTGTTTAGAGCACATATAGGTTATAAGCTCTGCCTAAAGAATTAAAACATATTATCAGACAAGCTATTAAATAATAATTTAAAGATAAATTCATCCCCCCTCTCTTTTTCAGATTCTTCCCTTTTCATCCAGGTCACCTATTTACTTAGCACTTTCCTAAGGAAATGCTGTTTCCATGAAAGAGAATAATCAGAGCTACAGCATACTAAGCACTGTGTTCATGGGTACAGGGAAAATATGGTTCTTGCCCTGATCTTAGAAACTTTGAGAAGACAAACTCTGGAAAGTCATTGAGTGATCTCTCACAAGGATACCAGATAGATCTGACAGTCGGGTGTCCAGCTCTGAGAGATGACAAAAACCCCAGAGCTTCATAAAGCCAGCACTGGACACCAGCTGGTTTAACAAGCACATCTAAGTTCCAGCCAGAGAGGCAATATTTAAATCATGTCACTGTTGCACAGTTTTTCTAATCCTCCCATGCAAGCTGTTCTCTAGAGTTCCCTGACACTACAGGAAAGCTGCATGAATGGCAGTACACACCAAAGACAGCAGAAAATTGCCTGTGCTTTCTTTCACTTTGTTTATGATTGAAGTGAGTAAATACCATCAAACAATCTCACAGATAAATGTTTTGATTTCAGCCAAACACACACACTATACTGTAAGTGACATCTCCTTGCCCTCATGATTATGGAGGGCTAGATCCAGAACCAGTGCAAAGCCTAGTTCCAGGAACAAGCTGCTGAGCTGGCTGGCTGTGAGATTTTCAGTGGCTGAGGAACCTTCCAGCAGTGTTGAGTATGAATTCCCTGGACTGTGAATGAATAGCTGCACAAATATTTGTCTTCCTAAACATTGTCCAAGTATGTAAACAGTTTTGACAAATATTTGGCTTACCCTGTCATCCATGCACTCTATCATGTCCCCTTCACAGCACTCTTTGTAGACACCCTTAATGTCCTGTAGAATTTTAACAATTTCTGAGAACGGAGCCTTGGGATATTTCTGGCTCAGGTGAGCAAGTTTACTGGGTGGAAAAGAAGAAAAATACGTTTCTTTTAAAGCTCAGCACTGAACAGAAATCTTGCTAACGCTTGTGATAGTGTAGATCAGCATCATTGGAAGTAAATATTAATTCATTCTTCTCATCTCATTTCTGGTGGTTAGTAACAAAAAGGGCATTGACACCTGCACCAGTACCCAGTGCTTCTTTAAAATAGAAAGAAACAAGTGTTTGATTCTTCTGTTCTGTCTCAGCTGTCTGTGTAAGAATCACACCCTAGAATTACCCATGGCTGGGGAATGACCTGTAAAGGCTCTCTAGATTGCTTAGCACAGATGTATATAGTCCTAATGAAGCCTTTAAATCAAAACTCACTATATCTAGTAAGGCAATCCTAGTCAATGTTAGTGTATTAAACAAGCACAGAATGTAAAGCAACTCTGTTGGAAAGATTAAGTCTTTCTTAATCTTAAAAACATAACTTTGATAATAACTGTGATACTGCCAAATCTGATTCTTTCACTGATTTAAGGTTCAAACTAGCAACTTATTTAAAATAAATAAATAAGTAAAAAGCATGTTAGGAAGTACCATGAGTGCACTGCTCTAACTCAGCACCTGGAAATTGAATTCTATATGCTTGTGTTTTCATAGAATGATAGAATCACAGGATGCTATGGGTTGCAAGGGACCATAAGGCTCATTCAGTTCCAACCCCCTGCCACAGGCAGGGACACCTTCTACTAGGCAAGGTTGCTCCAAGACCCATTCAACCCCAGAAGGCACTTGCATTTCCACCCCCCTGCCACAGGCAGGGACACCTTCTACTAGGCAAGGTTGCTCCAAGACCCATTCAACCTGGCCTTGAACACTGCCAGGGTTGGGGCAGTCACAGCTTCTCTGGGAACCTGTGCCAGTGTCTCGCCACCCTCACAGGAAAGAATTTCCTCATAGTGAGGAATTTTCTTCTTGATTAGTTTCAGGTTCATGTTAACAAGTCTACTTTTTATAAAAAAATGATTGGAACTTACTTTGCTTGGAAAGTTCTCTCACCAAATTTGTTGAGAATTTCACAAGAATACTGCTGCTTCAGGCTTATTTTCTTGGCTTTTTCTTTTATGGCACCTGCCTATAGTAACAGGATGCACACGGTCACATTAAACTTGCCACATTTAATGGACTGAGAAAAAAAACAATCTGAAACTCCCACTTCAGATGCAGAGCAGGTCGTGGTCCAGTTATGTCTGCTGAGAAGCCAAACCAGCTAGTCTATATGCTATGCCTTATGGCACAGTGCAGTTCTACAAACATGCTGCTGTTCACCAATTACTTCAATTTGATTGAAGCCTGTGGCTTCAAAGGAGCCTAAGTTATCTTACAAAGCACCAGAGGGATTGAGTTGGAGACAAAAGGAAAATTAGGCTCATGCCATTGCCAAGGCTAACATGGAATCTTAGCTACAGTTCTCTAAAAAGGAGAGCTCTGTGGAAGTCATCTGCTATTGAATCATCAGACTAACACATGATTAATCCTTCTCTACAAATTCTTCATACCAAGATTTTCATGAACAGGAAGATTCTACCTGTTTCTCACTCTTTCTCCTCCATTTGCTTGGACAACAAATAGGGCAAAAATAGGGGAGACCTCTTGTACACCTACACTCTGGATGAGGTGATGGCATGTTAGGCTGCCAAGAGAGAGCTGTCTTGCCTTCGTGCCTCTCTGGTAGCATGCCTTCCTGCTACAGTTCACCACAGATGAAAAATTCCAAGTGCTACATGGTCTTTGGATTCAGCACATCTGCACAATACTCACAGCTCCCTGATAATGTGTTAGCAAAGGGACAAAAATACAAACTTAATTATCTATGGTTCAATTCTTTTGGTTTTGTTTTTTTGTTTCATTTAAAAAAACCCAAAGTATGAATATTTACTCCATGTTAGTTTCTACAAAGCCACATACAAATGTTTACCCAAAACCACCCTAGGAAAGCAGAACGTTGGAATTATAAACTGTAATTTAATATTAACTGTTTAAAGCCACTTCTTGCTTTAAAAATAATTGTTACTAAGATCAGAAGAGATCTTTATGCAGCAGACCATTCGCTTAGTTTTTACCCACAGTGAAAAACTGGATATACCTTTTCATCCAAGCAAGCACCAACATCACTCTCTTTGCAGCAGCTCTGAAGTACATGTTCATAATCAGCAGCCAGACCAAGGATTGTTGGAGCATACAAGAATGGGGTTCTTCTTGCAACAGAATAGATGAAACTGTAAGGAAAAGGAAAATCTAAGTTACATATTCCAATGACAACAGCAAATGGCCTTAAATCTCCTAGAGTTTCTATAGCTTTCGTTTTGAGTTCAGAAATACAATCTACTTTCCTAATACAATGCCTTCTATGGGAAACGCTCTCTTAAATCTCAATTTCCAAAGCAGGGCTCAGTAGCAATGACAGGTGGATTAACTCCTTCTATTGTCAGCCACCTAGTTTGATGTGCATATGGTTTGATTTTTTTAAATGCATTGTCAGATACTTTAAAATTGTGATTTTGAGTGTGAAAAACTATTCTATGGCCATTTCACCAAGATTTTCTTGCTGATTTTTATTCTTTGTACTGTTATCTTTCTTCATTCTTTCTAATTACAATGGGATTAGTTGGAGGCTGGAGCAAGTAAATTATTAAATCAGTGTTGGAAACACTGTGGTTTTACAGGGGTTTATTGGGGGAAAAAAGAAGTCCCCCAAGATTTATAGAATGTGATCCCTTAAAACCCATTTTTGAATGGAAAAACCTGTGCTAGCATGGAATGAAAAAACATGATCCGAGCTTTGGCTATTTAACAACTGAGCAACTGATTTACGCATGCAGATATGAGGTAGAACTCTTGCAACTTCTAATGTCTTGTATGTCCATGCACTCTGTATAGCTTGGAGATCCCTCTTCTGCACAACTATATACTTAAAGAGTACAAAATGGCCATTTTTCTTACTGTCCCATGAATGACACACGGTTGTCCTGGTAATCCTTGCATATCACATCAGCAGCTGGTCTCTGGTATGGCTGAATGAAGTCTGGCTGGGCAACTTTAAATGACAGGAAGCACTGATTTCTTTCAGGATCAGCCTTACTACAGCAGTCAGCCATTGCACCATATGAGTCACGGAGCTTTTCCATTTGGCAGATTTCATCCAGGAAAATAGAGGGCTGTAAGGGAGATGCTGAAGGTCAGAATTATTCCTTATAGAGACTGTAATGTACAATGTACTTATCTGTAAAAGAAAACTCAGATTGATAAGTAAATACATGTTTTACAGGGATAATATTTAGACCATAAATCAGAATAAGCCATTGTTTTCAACACAATTTCATGAAGTTTTATGTGCTCCAATATCAAAACTGTTATTGAAAAAAATTAATTATAATTTAAAATACTCTGTGCAAGACAGAGATCTCCTTTTACTTCAAATCTGACTAAACTGAATTTTCAGATGAATTGAAGCAGAATTTAAGATTCTACTTGATCAGGTTGGGAAACCTTTAAGGAGAACTAAGGTAGTCATGTCATTTGGTCTGAATGTTAGAGCTCAAAAGAACACAGGCACCTGTCTTTCTGAAGCCTGCTAGACACCCAGGGATCTTCCTTACCTGCACACTTCTTTTGTGATCTCATATTAGAAGAATTTTTTTAAAACTTCTTAAACTAAGTACCTTAAGCTAGCACACATACCTTTTCAAGTCACCCCAGTGTGAAAACCCACACACTTTGGTCACCTGAATACCTAGAATTAGACCTGTATTTTACAGCTGGGGTATTTGCACTAAATGCTAATATTTATTTCCAGGCAATGCTAAACTTAATGTGCCTTAGTGTTGTGTCTGGGCTCCAGTTTGTGGCTCCACATATCATTTAGGCATTTCTGAAAGGCAGAGTTTAGAACCCAACAAAAACAAATTCTTTGTTTCAGCACTAAAATCTGAGAATTGGCTGATGACAACAGCCACACCTGAAAGGATCAGGTGTAAATCCTCAGTGAGGATGATGCTGGTAGCTGCACAGAATGAGGAGGAACACAATACCAAAGGAGTCGTTGCATACCAGTGATTTCGTGCACTCAGGAGCATCCTCATTGGCAACACACTTCTGTGCCAGATCAACAACATCCTTTACCAGCTTAGACAGTCCCTCGTAAGAACATCTCTGGAGATACTGAGCAAATGTGATCATGGAACTGAAACACAAAGCATGTTTTGGAATATGGAGGTAAGAAACATACCAGATAACATTTTCAAAGGTGCCTCTGGATACGAAATTCTTCAAATGACGTGCAAAAATGCTTAAATAGAGTACCATGAAGAGCTTAGTACCAGATCCCATATCCTTCCTCTTCTCACCTCCTTTCTAAAAGAAGGTTTTCAGCCTTACTCCCCAAGAACAGAAGTCTTGAATAATAGCTTAGAAATAAAACAGAAAACACTATGATTTGAATTTCCTGCTGCTTTTACCAGCCGTAAACTAAGCTGGGTTTTGCCATTTTGTTACCAATTCTGATCTTCAGGCTGCCTTCTTTCAGAAGTCGGTATATTCCTGCCAGGGCCCTCTGCCATTCCCAAACCAATTTCAAAAGAAAATAATTGAATTGCCTCAGAAAACCTGTTGTGGGTTTGTTTGGGTTTTTTGGCAATGTCACAATCCAGCATAACTGTGTTCCCATAAGGAACACAGGTTTTCTCATAAGGTTTGCAAGGAGTTCTATTCCCAGAGAGCAAGAAAGTCATTGTGAATTTTGCAGGTCTTAACACATTTTTAGGCTTTGTATGCTAATAGTAAGGCTAACTCAGTGCCTTCAGTGAGACACATACACTCTTCACTCGCTCATATGGTGTGTTTTAGTTTTCCTTTTTTGTCCAATATCAACAGAGATGGAAAACAATCAGAAAATGTAAGCGGGATGTTTACTTACACTGCCTTAAATGTCTCTTCCTTCAAGTCATTGTAGCGATGGGCAATCTCACTCTTGTGCTCTAGGAAGGAAAGCAAATTGAACAGTGAGGCTCCCTATCCTCCTGGCTGTGCTAGACCCATTAAGGAATACCTGCTGGGCACCTTGGGTCAGATTTGCAAAGGGTGCAGCATTCACCCCGTTCTTAAGGGAATAACTTGGAGTAGCATCATTGTTTTGAAACAGCCCAAGATGATGCTGAACACTTGTCAAATCCCACCTCTGGGCACACCATTCTGGGTAATCTGTGCTGATTTTCTGGGAGCTGCAATCTGAAGCTCTTTTCAGCCACCTTGAGCTCTTTGATGTCTCAGATGACCCTTCTGTCCATTTGTGTGTAGACACCTAATGCTTACGCACGCTCATCTTTTTGAAGGAGCCCAAGCATATGATTTTTAGGATTCTAATACAAGATTTACCTCTGTAAGCATATACTAAATTCAAATACTCTAAATGACTGCTGTAGCTTACTGTTAAGGGTTAGCAAATATCTCCTTTGAGTAACTGACAACACTATCATGTCCACGCTACAAAGAAAGGAATGCAGCTGCAGTTTGATGACAGCAAGCATCACCAGAATTTTCTCTTTTTGAACACAAAACTATTAATATGGCAAATTCTGGTTCCAACCAGTGCATATCATCTGTGCTCTCCGTGAGAAGGAAAGCAGGTAAATACCTTCCCTTGGTCCTGGTGGTAACAAATACAGGTTGCAGTTACACCTTGCTCTTGGGGAGAAGACTCCCATGAGATTTCTCCAACAGATACTGAGTCATATGGCTACAGTAATGAATGAGCAAGACTGGGGCAGTCATCTTGGTGTAGAAATACCATTCAGAAGCATTTAGAAAACATGAGGAGTAATTCCTTTACCTAGTGGAATATACCTGCTTTGATAATAAGCGTTTTGGTACAGAAAATTGTAATTTAAAGATTTTTTTGCTGCTGTTCACTGGCATTCCAGCCAGCTCCTGAAAACTGAGTTTGGCTGAATTGGAGTATTTTCATGTTTCAAACAAAAATCAAAAATATCAGTGGAAAAATGTCTAGGACTGCCTGCAGAAATATTTTCTTGACGAATGTCTGAAGTTCTATAATACAGGGAGAGATGAAACAATGAGGAGGTTTTGGCTAGCCTTCCTATAGCCCAGACTGAGATGCATATTTTTTTGTTTTTTGACCTACTCATGTGAAAACTGTCACCTTTTACTGGTGAGGAGCTCACTTATGAACTACTATGCAAAAGATAGCACTTGCAAAAGCACAGTGCATCCCCTTTCTCAGCAAAGCACAGTGCGTCCCCTTTCTCTGCACTGGAAAGTAATAGATGCTGAATAATCAACATTTGTTCATGCCCTACACTGATGCTGCAAAGGGACATCACCAGACTTTCTCATCCAGTTAAGTTGTCCTGTTCTAGCCATCTCCTCGTGATTTCTTCATTTAGTTTCTTTTCAAGTCAATCAAGTTTTTCTCTTCTCTTTGGATCAGGCTTGCAAGAATTGTCCATGAAATTGCATTAAAGACATGACATTGATATAGCAAAGACTGCAAAGACAACTAAGTTGTCCTTTCTTACCTGCCCCTCGAGCAACTCTTTGCAGATTCCTGGATCTGGCAGAATTTACGAGGAAAATAAATGAAATTAATGTTACCCACTTCATGGTTGCAGATTATGATGTGGGTTAAAATGCTCAGAAAAGCTAGGAAGATAGAAGGGAAAGCATCTGCTTATATACTCTTTCCTACTTGAGTCTGTAAAATATTAACCATAGAGCTGGCACTTGTAGATTTCCACTTGGCCTGAAGAAGATTACAAAACTTGGACTGTCCTTGCCAAAAATTAATTTGATATGCTTTGTTTATTATGTTTTAGTCTGGGCCTTTTTGTCCTGAAAAGGTTGAACCTGCCAGCACCCAAATAGATAAAGTTTTGCGTAAATTTCCTTATCAAACGACAAACAAGGAGTTCAAGGCATCAGACAAGTGTCATCAAGTCTAATCCTAAAGCTGTGCTTTTTTCCTTTTTTTTTTTGCCTTTATTTGTTCAAAAGCAAAGCATGTTGGAATTGTACAGTAACTATTCACCCAGACAGGACAGAGTCCACACACTCACTTGTAACTAGAGAATTGTAATTTTTGATCACTTCACAAAGATGAGATGGCTCACCCAGAATTTGGTATAAGAAATACAGATTGGTAAAATACCGAGCACAAAGATACAGGTGAACAGCATCTCCAATCTCAACTGGCTTCCAAATTCTTCAAGGAACAGGAAGTAAAGATGTGGAACGGGTACCAGGGAATCCAAATCTCACCATGTATGTAGTTCCAGAGTGGAACAATTTCCTGCAGACAGCAGGTCTGTGTTAGTCAGTTGGAACTGACACTTTCACATTGTACAAGGCTGCACTTCACTTCAAATTTGTGATGTACACCTCGAGGAACATCCAAGAGGAAGGCTGAGTTGTTAGGTCCTGTTCTGGTGTTCTGTGGGCACTGCTATTCACCAGGAACCAGAAAACGGGAAAATACCTGTGTAAACATTTGCAAGAGCTGTCATCTCCTAATTTTTGCAATTTCTTGTTTGCACTGACATGCTCCGAAGAGTAATCTCTTCACTAAGCACCACTCTCCTCTTCAAAGATCTCTATTGGCAGGTTGTAACTTAGGAGATCAGATATGGGAAGAACTGCAAAGGTTGCAGTTCAACTATATGGAATATAATTGAAAGTTGCTTTCCAGAACAGTCAATGAGAGGCTTCAAAAAAACCCCTGACAAATATAAGGTTGGATCCTTACTGAGTGCACAGTGATGTAGTTCTACTGTGGGAACAGAGCAAGGTATTCTAACACTTCCATAGCCTTTCAGGTTCCCTTTTCTACTCTATTTTCCTCAAGTGCGAAGTTCTACCACAACTCTGTATTATTCCTACTGGGAGTACTATGAACCCATTTTCTGGACATCTGACCAAAAAAAAAAACCAAACCAAAAAAAACTTTGCTTTGTTTATGAACTTGATATTTTAAACATGTCTTAAAGAAACCAAATCACGTGTCTAAGCTTAAAATACTTTCAGGACATTTTCATTTAGAAAGATGTCAAGGCAATGCACCTTGTCTTGCAGAAAGACTTTTCAGTTCTCCATGAATAACCACATAACACAGATGATTTTACAGAATAGTTTCATACATGAAATTTGCACTACTGTAGCTTTGGCAAAAAAGTTCACCGTTTTTCCATTTTTTGCATTATCTTTATAGGTGAAATCCAGCATTCTTGTTAGTAATTTAAAGAAATGAGGCTCTATTTTGGGAATTAAAAGTTAACTGCATAACTCTTGAAGGATGTACGTGGGGGAAGCCATATTTGCAGAAAAGCACTTCAGTTTTGTCAGAATGTTAGAAATGGGGATTATTTTCAGGTGGTTTTAGCAAAATCCCAACTTTCTGGAGAATGATGGGAATTAGGATGAACAATCTGGACCTTTCAGATCTGTGCTGCTTTAGCCTAGCAAAATTCCAGGAAAGAGCTGGTTGAGCACTTCAGTCTATAATTGGTTTTACTGACCATATCCCTGTGCCAAAGAAGAATCCATCACTAAAGCATGGATCTTTTTTGACTAACCTGTAACCTTCAGGATGGCTGAAGGCTACCTAGGTTTTTGCACAGCCTCTTAAATCACTGACATTTGGATAGATCAGCATTCTGAGTTTGGAAACTTCTACACACATTTTGCACTGATATAAATGGCAAGAGATGGAATGGTGAATATAGGGGCTTAATAGCACTTTTTCCAAGAGCTCAGATAAAATGAACACCAGGAGCCGACTCAGCAATCCCAATGAATGCCACTGTAAAATAGTATAGAGCTTTCCTATAAACATCAGCTTGATTTAGCTGCATCATGAACTTATGTCTTCTTTCAAATCTGAAAAGAGCATTCACCATAAACACCCATTTAGGTGTCTTGCTGATAGCCATAAAGTGATGGTAAAAGGTAATCAGACTGGAGCATTGCCCAAGTCCAAGTGGTGAGAAGATGTGGTGGTGGCAGACCATGCCTTAGAACAGTGTGGGAAATGCTCTCAGACTGCCTCAAGGCAGTCTTCAGGAAAGGACAGCTAAGGACTGAGAGGGGAAAGGATTTTCTGTCACCTTGAAGTTTAGCACAAGAAAAAGTCTCACTATGCAATGCTGCATCTTGAAAGCTATCTGGAATTTTCCCCAGCAGCATTGTGCAGTGTTAGCAAGAACATGACTGGTCCCCTAGAGTTAATAGGTAAGTTTGTAATACAGGGTCCATGTTTATTTCTAGATATCTTCTGTTGTCTGTCCTGTACTTCATGCCAACATTTCATATAACTGCTGAAAGAGAGATCTGAACGCCAATGCTGATGTTTGTTTAACAATATTAAATGTTATACTGAGCTTCCTCTTACCCAATTCTTCCATACTGCACTGAGCATACTTTCAACAAAGGTGTCCCGGTAGTACAAAAAGGATGTATCAATTGTGTTTTAAGACAAATTCATTTTCACACACATCTGTGTCTGAAGTCACAGCTGGTAACTAGTGTTATTTCAGATGTGGGGGACCAAAGCACAGCAATGCCAAGAGTAATTGACCTAGCAATAAAAAGATGCATCATATTTAAATATTCCATCACAGTATGCCATGCAAAGTGGAAGTGTAGACACCAAGTGGATTACTTCACTCTCAGATTCCCACTGGAGAATACTTCCAGGAACACCTATTTAACCAATCTGTTTTCATACATCCAGGCTTCATTCTGTGCTGCGTGCTCTCTTACACTGGATACAACATACTTAATAAGGTTGAGTAGATGCCATGGTAGAGCCATTGCTCTCAAGGAATTCCTGAGCCATGAATTTTACACTAACACTTACTTTATCAGAAAAAAAACACCCATTCACCTCTGTGTTCAGGTGACTTGTGCTTGAAGGAGATTGCTGGAGAGTGGGAAGCATTCAGAAGCTGATGGAAAAGCTATTCGTATTTCACTGGGATTAATGTTCCTACTAAAAGTTACATGAATATGGACCAAAATGTACTAAAATTGCATAAGTTTTTGAGTAACAAATTTGATAGATCATCATTAAGAACCACTGCCAGAGCACTTGTGGAGTAAGTCCTTTACAAAGCGATGACTCAAAAAATAAGACTGTTACAAATCCTCTAATTTTGAGGCCCTCAAGTTTATTTACTGTTGTTTCCTGTTTATTTTAAAGACTAAGACATATGTTTGTGTGACTGGACCGTGAGCTACACACCAAACCTCAAGAGGTTTATGTGCCAGGATCACAATTACTACCAGTAGCACGGTTCTGTTTTGGAGGTGGTGGTGTTCTTTGTTTTGCTTTGGCTTTTTACTTATCTCATGGTAACAGGAAGGAGGGCAGCTAGCTAGCAATTTTTTTTCTTCCTCAGGATGAAAAATAGCCTTCTGTTGAAGTGGAGCCAGTAAAAAGAATGCTGCTTCTTTTCTGTCAGCAGGTGGAATGATGCTGAAAAGGTGTTGCAGTCTCCTATTTCCAGCCCTGTGCCTTACAGACATGTAGTGTAGCTGCTTTTTTTTTTTCCCCCTCCACTGGACAGTATCTCATTTTCTAAATCACTATAATTATCAGTGTATATCTAAATAAATGCCTGTAGTTCTCAACAGGTGGTCAGGTACCAGAGTTTTCTTGCTCTGGTGCATTATATTTGCTATTCTTATCATCAGTGTTTGGCTCCCATGCAAAACAAGTCAAACATCTCCAACAGATATATGCCTTTATTTGAACAGAGATGGACTCATAGATATAAAATGAGCAAGAAGGCCTATCTGATGAGCAAACATAAACATGGAAAAGATTTGACCACTGTGGCAGAATAGGCAGAGGCCTGCTATGGTGTAACTGACAACATTCCAAGACAGGGCCTATCTGCTGGGCACATCCTCAGCTCTGACTCTGAACCATTCATCTCGGGTCATTAGCCACTCCTCTGCAGGTTTACAGAGTTCTTGCTCATTAAAGTAAGAACTTTTAAATCAAACAGAATGACTATTCACATTCTCATCGCACCTAAATAATTCAAACACCCAACTCCAATAAGCTCAACTTGTAATTTACCATCTTCCTCCTGCAGTCCTCTGCTGGAACAGAAGGCTACATCCTCAACACAAAATAGTTTTGCAAACCTGAACTTCATGTCAACATCCAGAACACAGAAGAGAGTAGCCAGAACATGCAGTATTTGGTGCTTAATCCAAAGTGGGGAGGAAGACCTCAGGCAGTGTATATTTTCCAGATTGCAAAGTTCAGCTTCAATTGGATGACTTGACTGCATAATTTGACACTGTGCCTTCCGAAGTCCATCTCAAGACACACACACATATGTACATATGAATGCCTTACATGTTTTAGGTAGTCTGCTAATTATCTGTTAAGAGGGCATTTACCTTGGCAGGGGTTGAAAAAAGATTCTTTCACACCATTCTAGCATTAAAGGCCTTGCAAGCAGATGGAGGCAGTGTAAGTCAGTCATCTCTGTGCATCTTGCTGACCGGGTCAGCAAGATACAGGCTGCCTGTTTTCCCATGCTCTCTACTGTCAATATAGAATCATAGAATCAGCTAGGCTGAAAAAGACCTTTAAGATCATCAAGGCCAACCTTTATCCCAGCACTGCCAAGGCCACCA